CACAGATTTAGGGAAGTGGCTTGATTCTTGAAGCAGTGAGCAATGCCTACAGCCAACCTGTGTTGCTTTCAGGGTTTTTGAGTCCCTCAGGGAAACACTCAGATTGTAAAACTGATAAATTTTTCTACGTCATCTCCATTCTTCCTCTCAAAACCTCTAAATCTTTTCAGAGTTAACATCTGTATAGAATATGCCAAAATGCATGAATTCCATGAGCACAGAAAAAATTTGTCCTATCTACCTGCCACATTGCTAACACCAAACATTAGTATCTGGCAGCCATTAATAAACTGTCTGCAATTCCTAGAAGATAATTCTAAGGGATATCTGAAATGTAAAGAAACTTAATACATTAAGTACCAGAAGAAAATCATCCTCAAGACCATCAAAAGATTTCTGATCTCTCCTCAGTAACACTGATATAGGTTACAAACACAGGTTTTGAGGTACAAGATTTTATGTTCCAATTCTAGCACTAGCAATAATTAGTTATGTGACTCCAGCCATGGGACTTCACTCTCTGAGCCTCAATTTCCTCACCAACAAAATAATCATTCCTACCTTTCAAGGCTGTTATAAGGTTTAAGAACAGACAACTCAGGACTCAGTAACTTTACAGAACTGAGATCACCACTAGTTCCAAATTAAAATTTAACAGAACAATAGGAACCAAAACATATTATTTGAATCGTTTGCTTAAAACCAGAATCCAGATTTAAATGAGCCATTTGTAAGCTATTTATTAGAAGGACAGCCCAAGAATAAGGATAGATGTGTTCCATGGTGATGTCATTATTCATCTCAGTTCCTGGTAATCTTCTACTGACCCCATTCTTTTCTGCACCAACTCAAATTCTGAGTGAAAACATTAGAATACTTTTAGAATTATTACCACCTAATAAAAGTCAAAATGCACCAATCCTTCTTAACATTTGGAAGCAACTCTGCAAGCCAGACATGGTGGCATGCACCTGTGGTTCCAGCTAATTGGGTGGCTAAGGTAGGAGGATCCCTTGAGCCCAGGAGTTGGAGGGCTATGGTGAACTATGATCGTGCCACTGCACTCCAGCCTGGGTGGCAACACCAGACCATGTCTCAAAAAAAAAAAAAAAAGAGGAAAGGAAAGCGAAGAGAAAGGGAAAAAGAAAGAAGAAGGAAAAAAAAGAAAAGAAAGGGACTGAGGACTGCTAGTACTGCTTTCCCATCAATGGCGTTTATACAGTCCTCATCCTCTGAACTTCTCTGCATAGTTACAAGTGTTAACTATCCTCTCCTTGAACTACTCTCCCTTACCTATTGAGACAGAGTATCACTATGTCACCCTCGGTAGAGTGCTGTAGCATCACAGCTCACAGCAACCTCAAACTCTTGGGCTGAAGCCAGCTGTTTTCAACCTGTGGATTGCAACCCACAGAAACTATATTAAAGGGCCATGGCATTAGGAAGGTTGAGAACCCCTGGCTTAGGCGATTCTCTTGCCTCGGCCTCCCATGTAGCTGGGACTACAGGCGCCTGCCACAACACTCAGCTATTTTTTTGTTGTTGTTGCAGCTGTCACTGTTCTGTTTTTTTGTTTTTGTTTTTTTTAGCTGGCCCGACAGGGTTCGAACCCATCAGCCTCAGTGTATGCGGCCAGGGCCCTACCGACTAAGCTATGGGCACTGCCTCCCTTACCTAATTTGTGTGAAACTATACCCTCCTGACTTTCAATCCCTATTCAGTCGTCCAGTTCTTTTTGTCATCTCATGGCTTGTTTGGCAATCTCATGTTCTTTCAGTTTCAGCTACAAACTCTCTTTGGATACAGCATCTACAGCCAGTTCTAGCCTCTCAATCAAATTCCAATCCCTGGATTCCAACTGTGGATTCTTCTTTCTATTTTATTTTATTCTTCCCCAGCTTTTGTAAGTATAAGGACAAATAAAATTTGTATGTATTTATTATACACACTGTGATATTTTGACATGTGTACACATAGTGAAATAATTAAATCAATCTCATGAACATATTCATCACCTCACATACTTATCATCTTTGTGATGAGAACATTTAAAATCTATTCCCATAGCAATTTTCAAACATACAAAACATCATGAAGTACACCATGCTGTACTCAATAGATCTTCAGAATTTATTCAACCTATCTGAAACTTTGTACTCCTTGACCAATATCTCATTTTCCTCTCCTCCA